ATGAAATAAAATAAAATGGCTGCCAACTTTGAAAGCCCAGCAGTCGTGCGATTTTCGTGAGTTTCCAGCAACTTTTTGATGTCATTACTTTTGCGCTCTTCTCTCTTTCTCGCACCGTTTCCGCGCAACCGTTCTGCTTAAAAGTAAGGTTATAGCTTGGCATAAACTTTCAATGAAGCGTAAATGAACTGTGCACCCGCATTTTGGTCAGCTCAAATTCGCATTGTCCTTTCCACTCCCTCACTTCTCTCCCCAATGCTTTACCCGCCCACACACCACCACCAGCGCGCTATAGTAAAAGTTAACTGTCGAGGATTCTCTAAAATTTATTTGCACTGTCACTTTCGCCAGCCTACTAAGTGCTTCAATCGAAAGTCCCTTAACTGGTAGTCTCGGTGTAAACTATGTAAAGTATAGAGAGTTGTGAAATGAAGTAAGTTATGTGCACAGGCATGAAGAAACAACAACAATGTAGCGTGTGACAATGTAGAGAATCGCCAAAAGTTTTTTACGGCATTTTCACCCACCAGAGAGTGTCTGGGAAAATTAAAACAAGTAGTAGAAGAAGAAGAAAAAACAAATAGCAAAAATGAAAAAGAGGAAAAGAAAAAGTAAAGTAGAAATGTGCTGTGACAATCAGTAGCCGTTATGGTGTGTTAAAAGCAACATTGTTTCCACTTCACCTACCAAGTCCAGGTGGTTGGTCGTCCAGATGCTCGTCTCGTTTACTTCTGTCGTTTAAACTTTGAATGTAACTGAGCTTTTATTTCACAAACACACACACACAGTCACAGGAAGTTATGCCGAAAACACCGCGCGAGAATGGTAATGGAAGGATGTTTAAGGATAGAGAAAGCCTATAAACCAAATCTTTGGCAATGTTAAAGTTTCACACAATTTGACAGACGTTTAAGGCAAAATACGATAAATCGGATTTTCTTGCCGCAGAGCACATCCACACTGATGTGACACTCCCTCTACATTATATATTTATTTGCGCATTTGTAATCGAGAGATCATCTGCAGTGAAAAAAGTGTGGAGACAAAGATTTTTGCCAACATTAACAGAAGAAATATGTCCGCACTGGAGACAGTTAGGAGTTCCACTCGGCTGTATAAGTAGTTTTGATAAGAACTTAGAGAGAGGCTGAAATGGAGCGCTACCTTCTTGTGGACTCTAACCATGATCGAATAACAGCAGCCGCTGAACGCTTTGCCACAGACTACGAGCAGCATCGTTCATGAGCAATCACACAAATTGCTACATCTATCTGCCGCCAAGTCTGCCCAAGACCAGAATTCAGCTCCAATTTCAGCGATCTCCGCATGACACAAGGTTTACCTGGCTTTACAGCCAGTTTGAGTTGCGTCCTACCAGTGCTAGGCTTTTCTGTGTGATCACAATGTAAGATGTATTTACGTGAACTTACTGAAAGATCTTGCAGTTTGGAAGGGGAGCTGGGGCTCTGTCTCACTTAGACCCATTCGAGGTATATATCTGAAATATCGGCCTCTTTGAGACTGCAACGGAGTGTGGTTGAGGCTAGGCTGTTGCTGCCCCGTCAGGTGATCAGCGGGAATGACGAAAAGCTAATTCACAATCCTTGCACAACCTTTTGTGCCCTTGAACTGAATCACTTGCCCTATGATTTTGACGTACTAGCACATTTCGACAGAATGGAATTAGACGCTTTTGCCGTACATGGTTTTTGATTAGCTCTTTTCTTTTGCTTTCGGTCTTGGGGCTTAGCATTGGCCCTAGACGTCGGGTAGACTGAAGTGGCTCCATGGATGCGGTTCCCGAAGTCATCAGGGTTAGTTTAGCATCGTAATTATCATCGAAAGCCCTTTTTTATGATCAGACATCCGAGGTGGGATGTACTATGTTGATAAAAAGGAAACTTTTTAGTGGCCGAAGAGGGTTAGAGGAAGGAAAAGGATCAACCTAGATTGGGGGTAAACTGGTAATGTTGGATCTAATATCGAATTTTTTTTTTATAATTTAAGACAACTGAAAACCATCTTCAACATTTCTCTTTACAAGCCCGATTCTTGGCTCATAGGATTTGATGCATACCTGATCCAACTAGTATTTTAGTAGTATAAGGCTGACATATCGAGAAAATAGTTGAAGTGAAACTCTTTATTGTTACAACGGAAAAATAAGTAGTAGCATAGTTCACAAGTAATAGCTTTTAACATGTTTTACGTTTGCCTAACAAAAAGAAACTCACCCCTGCCTTCACTTACCTGCTGATTCCGCACTAAACTCTCTCGGTTGGCACATTTGAGATGGTTAAACTCATACAACAGTGTGCCAAGTTACCAACCAAACTAAAACAAAAATCAAGTTGAGCTGAGTTCAGAAATGAGATGAGCATACGAAAATTTGACTAACTTAGCAAATTTTTGAAATCCACAAATTTTCCTCTTCCATCTTTTTCTCTCTTTTTGCTTTTTTTTTTGTTGGTGTAGAAACCTACAAAACTTTGCTTTGGACCAGTTATACGATATTCATGGAGGCAGAGGTATGGATAGCTGTGTGCCTGTATGTGTGGCAGTGGTAATGCAAGCGTAGAAAAAAGACTTAAGCGATCCGTTCGACAGAGTGTTCATGATACAGTGTATACCTTGCACTTACAGTGTGTATGACAAGTATTACATATTCACTTATCTAGATGTTGGTGTGAAAAATACTAGCTAAAAAGTAACTCAGAATGACAAGCCATCGCAAGTGCATAGGTATTGTTGAGTTGTAAACTAGACCAATAGTTGTACAAAATGGACCAAATACTAAAAAGTGCCGAGGGGCTGCCGCAGTTAGAAAAACTATTTTTGGGTGTTGTGCAAAACAGGAATCGGACTCTAGCCTTTCAAATGGCAGCGCGCAATTCAAAACACTCGGCTATGGCAGCCGATTTATGTGCGTTTTTAAAGAACCTTAAATCTCCAAAACTTACCGAGTTCTGACAGAAGATTATACGAACAGTTTTCTTCTGAAAGAGGACCAGGCACTGACTTATTTGAAAAAATCTCACTAATGGTCCGATTTACTAGAAACTCGGTACACTGGTGGCTGTTTGCTTAGTTTAGGTGACTTTTTAATTCGATTAGCAAGGATCGTACATTACTTTTTCCTCTGGAATCTGGACCAGAAATCCCTTTATTCGAAATAATTTGATTTATGAGCCGATTTACCAGAAATTCGGTACATAAATGGATTATTACTTAGATTACCAGGAAGACGAATTTTCGATTCGGAAAGTGGACTTGAGACCGCTCTATGTGAAAAAAAAAAAATATTTATGATTAATTTTTTTTTCAAAATTTTTCACGAGAAGCGGATTGCATAGCAATTTGAAGGAATACATATATTTGCATTTTACTTTAGTTAATATTAATAAAAAAATTAATATTTTGATGCCGATGGTGCGTTTTTTCATTCTCTGCAATACCAAATAAGACCAAAATTTGGTTGAAACACAGAAAGCCACGGCATGTGTGGTGGGATCTGCTAGTAGATTAATAAAATAATTTGAATAAATTGAGCTTAATTCGAAGATTAAAAAATCAATTTTGAAAAGAAAAAACTTAAAGCCTTCTGCGAAATGTTAAAACTAAAATTTATTTAAAAGTTTAAAGTAAGCAATTTTAGTTGGTATATTCTTTTTGGCACAAGTTTAATTAACGTCCGCAAATTCTAGTCCTAAACTAGAACCCTCGGAACCAGTTGGATATTTCACTTCACATGCATCTTCACTCCCTCTAAATATACGTCTCCGCACGATAATCGAGTGCCAACACATAATCTTGTTAGGCGGCAAAGTTTACTTGCATAGAAATTTGTCCAATAGCAATGGCGAAAGTTGTGTCAAGAAATAAAGTGCAAAAAACGACATGACAGCAAAGAAAGAAGAAATATAAACGCAGTTGGCGATGAAGTGAAAATAGAAGTAGAAATTTCCTTACACTCGATTGCAGCTGAGGGCGATGATGTGGCTGCTTGATGGGTTTGCTGAAGTCGGCAGGCGACATCGCCTGCCCACAGCCAGCACGGCTTATGTTACACAATTTATGCGAGCGACGAGCTTCGACCAACGAACGAGCTTACATGGCTTACACTTGATATGATAGAAAATATAAATTTATGATAGAATTTGCATAATAGCTTTACAGTTACAGCAGGGAGAGCATGGAAATTAGTAAGAATAATGTACGTTTATTGCACCAAAGAATACATCGGCACGCGTGTAACCTCTCCAATAGCATACAAAGCACCTCGTAAGGTTGTGACAGGCAGTAAAATTAATTTCGAATCTGCAGTTACGCCTTTTCACACGTCAGAATGTCTACGTAGCCTGAATTTGTGCTGCTAATTGTCATGGCTTATATTTTGAATTATGCCACTTATGAATTTTTTAATTCTGCGGATTATCTCCAATGCAAATTGATAAAGAATTTAGATTAGTTACAAAACATTGAAGTGTGTTGAAAGTATACTGACATTTTTTTTGAAAAGTGATATAGAGAACACATGATATTGCTACCTCGAACCCTCAATCGATGACAATGGCGTAGACGTTCCATCACCAGAATACGAGAGCATCAGTTTCTCTAGGAAATACAGTGGGAAGAAGTGCAAACTGACGTTAGGCAACACCAAAATCCCCCTCTCTCTTATTCTCGTTCTGCTGCATTGTGCAGAAACGAGGACGATAACAGTAACCGATGAGTGGGTGCCAGAAGTTTGCCATTGCGAGGATTTCAAAACTCTTTTTGTAGGGTTTTGCATTCAAAAGAAGCTTCAAAATACCGTTCGCCACTATCCAAAAATGCAAATAAATAAGTGCAGTTCAGAAGTCATTATTTGGGGCAGATGTTAATGTGTGAAATAATCTCTACCACTGCACATGTAAAATCTATCAATTAACAAGTTAGGCACTTTAAACGGTGCTTTGACATAAATATTTACGTAATTCAATTCCAGCATATTCACTTACCTTGCCCATATTGACGAAACCATGATCCTTGGCCACTTGATCGGCCACGCCACTGCCGCCACTCGGTATATGCACCGCCCAGGTGTGGGTAAAATGCCTCGCACTGTCGCCATCGCCCCCACTGTTGTCGCCCGCCTCCTCGTAGTCCAGCTGGTAGACCACGCCGTCATCGATGGCATTCACCGCGGCCGCCACCGCTGATAGGCTTGCATTGCTGGCAACAATGGCGGCGTTGGCGTACGGCACAGTCACAAAACCGACATTTAACGTGCACAACAACAACAAAAACACTAAAATCACATTCAATTGCAAACAATTCAATAAAATCCTATTTAAATGCAATGCGAAAGCCGCGAATGGCGTAAATGTCCGCGGCGGTTTCACTTGTTGTTGCAGTTGCAAATGTCTACTCAGCAACGGTGTGTTGTTGGCGATTGACACGAATGCCGTTTTAGGTTTGATCGCATTGTTGTTGTTGTTTTTGCTTTTACTAATGCTATGATAACGGGAATTCACTAAAAAACTATTTGTTCTTTTTGTTGTTGCTGCCGTTGGTGTGGCATTAAGAAAACTTGCATTATTAGTATCACAATATTGCTGCTGTTGTTGTTGTTGTTGCGTATGAAATTGTATCTGCTGCCTACTCAACAGTCGTCCACTGCTTTTCAGAGCCGCATTTGTGATTCCACCAGCAGCACCGTTCTCGATCGTGCTCTCATACTCGGCTCTTCGTGCATTTGTTGGTGTTGAACTCCATCGTACGACGTCGTTTTTCATTGTGCGTTTTTTGGTCGCAGGATTTTGCTGTCACACGAATGAAGGACCTGAACCTGGAGGAAGTTTTAGTGTGTTGTTGGTGTTGAGAGAGTTGATAGAGCTGCGGTTGCAGATCGTTGCAGCAAGAGAGCGATGCGAGTGTGTGAGAAAGAGAGTGAGGGAATGAGGGAGTTCAATCTGAAGTGCAGAGTTGTCTTGGCCTTCAAATTTTGCCCAAAGATTTAGAGAGCGTTGAATGGCAAGATTATCGCATCAGCTGAAAGAGAAACAAAAATAAGAATATTTGTTAGAAACATTTGTGTACAGTTATTTTTTTGCTATTAGAAAAACTCTATTAAAAAGTCTATTCTTAAAATCACAGTACAGAAATTACTTGTATTTTAGGTGAAACGTTGGACCATTGTCCAAGTAAAATAATTTTATTATAACAAGTCGCAGCTTCCGGTCTTCTAAACTGTGGTGAAAGTGAAACACCTGAAGATTGCAAACCGTAGTCTCCTGTCGATAGATCCTATTGAAGACAGAAGACGATGAGGAGTTCTTATTAATATGAGCATCAGTTTCTTCGTAGAATATGGTCCGCAAGGAGAGGAGGAGAGGGAGCACAGTGCGGCACTTTTCGCGGGGGAAGCCTCCTCAAGATCAGAAATGAATTCTTAGCTCAAAAATTGCTAGAAAGCCTAAAGCCCACTGTTAACAAGCGGATAGAGCTTTGTGTCTTCAGATCTTTACCGATTTTAACATTGCCGACGAAGGGCAGCTGCCACTATGATGCTGTGTGCTATTCTCATTAAACCTATACCGGATCGCTGGGATCGGAAATTGATCGCACCGAAAGTTCTGTATTCTTCTGTCTAGATGAAAAAAAAAGGGAATAACTCTTATTACCATGGACTGAGTGGGCAATTGAGAAGAATCTCGACGAACAAAAACTTAACAAGTCGCTGATCATTGAGCTTCGCGTATTAGCGTCAGCAGATACCGTATAAAATGTAAAGATGAGCTTTAAGAAATTTACGGTACTATGGCTATGGTTCAACGACTTCAGAGAGGGTGATAATGCTGGCTAGGTTAAGTTGGCCGTATAAATGAAGACACTACAGCTTCGAAAGTTTTGGACTCAGAATCTCAGGGCAGAAGAGGACGAAGAAGATCTCAATTCCGTTGGTTTCACTTGGCGACTTCTATTGGTTTCTAAGGGAAGGATTGACTGACAAAATAATTTATAATTTATAGATATATTTATATTTATATTTATATTTATATTTATATTTATATTTATATTTATATTTATATTTATATTTATATTTATATTTATATTTATATTTATATTTATATTTATTTTAAGTTTTTAAATTTTGCTAGGGTGAGTTTTCCCGTAACTATCGACCACTTTTCCAATTTAAATACTCAATTCAACTTGTAAATATGTACAGTGTATCTAACTGCCAAGATCAGACATTTATTATGTTTATCCAAATGATATATTTGTGTGTATCTTGCAAATACTTGTGTAGACTATGAGTTTTTTTCTAACGAATATGTCAATATATATATTTATATAAATATATATATATATATATACACATACAATTACAAGTATAAATTAGCTGAAATTCTCTTCTAAGCTCCAAATTGATTGTGTGCCCCGGCAGAGCTGTGTGATAAACATGGAGTAGGGAATTTAATTAACAGTCAAATAGCCGAACGCAGACACAGTATTGAGCAGAGCCTCACAGAGCAGAGGTTATAAATCACATGATGTGCGGAGGGCTGACATAAATTTGTTTTAATATACATATTAAATGCATGTGCATACTTGTGCATATGTATGTATACATACAGAGACAGGCGCTTTCGTCATTTGTCATTTGAAGTGACAGTTGTTTGTTTACATATTTTGACACTTGTCAGCTAAGAAACAAGATTAGCCGCAACTTCAACTGTAACGGCACGAAAGGGAGAACATACCCAACGTAACCGACATAAATGACAAACGGTCTGTTGTGTGGCCGCCAGCATCAGCATCTGTGAGTACGTCATTAATAGGCAGCATATTCTGGTCTATTCATGGAATTATCAGACACATCTGCTATCCCTTGCAGTCATCAAACATATAGACTCCATCAATATCTCTGGTAGGCTGATGAAATACAGAACTATACATATATGTATTTAGTTAGGATTTACAATTTATTGCACACAGTAGTTGTAGGTAAGCAATGTGGTTAGCCCACTGTCAACTCCGAGCATCTACAACAACTACGACGTACATTTGAATTAAAAGCTCCGTTCGTATACATACATAAATATCAATTTCGCAATAAATTATAACTAAAGTAGGCAGGGAGGTCACTAGTTCGGAAAAAAACTAGTTCGACTACTACTATAATGCAATAGAGAAATGTTTTTATGTAAATATTTAAAAATAAACTTATGATTTTGCTCAAAAATTTATCTTTTTTATCATCACCAGTCCCCTGTTTCTGGTATGGCACTGATTGAAATCTGAAAGTTTCCATTTAAAAATGAGCACTTCTATGTGTGAAAAAAATACAGATGTCTGCCTAATGGTAATTACCTGGCGTACTAGTTTTGAAGTAGTTTACAACTAATAAATTTGACTACAGGGTAAGTGTACAGTCTGAATGCTTTCAAGGAGATTTCCCTACGAAATTCATCTTTCCGTCTGTTAAGGTCAGCTCTTATCTGTTTTTGGTCATTTGATTTGCTTAGGTTTGCTCATCAATCTACAATAGAACGTAAATATGTTTAGTAAAGACGTGCTGGCATACTTCTTGGTAACTACAAATCAACCCGCTTTATTCATTTGCTTACATACATGCTGGCCCAGCTAAGCTAGAGGCAATAAATTTCAATTTGTTAGTGATTTATGGTTAAGGTTTCCTTTTTTTTGGGAGACAAGACTAAAGCTACGCGCGCTATGTACCAAGAGATGATGAGGTGGCTACACCCAATAAATGATTGAAGCACTGAAGTATGAAGCCGTATTTACAATAATTATATTCACAAATGACTTGAGAATCCATTTTAAACAAATCAGGAAAGTAAGAAATAAAATAAAATATATTATATACAAAAAAAAAAAAATAATATAAAAAAAAAATATAAAAATTAAACAAATCTAAACTAAATAAATAAATAAACCTAAGATAAATAAAATAAAATAAAGCAAAAACAACATATGACAGAATAACAAAAGGAAAATAGAATTTAATACAAAACAAAGTAAAATTAAAACAAAAACGAAAAATTAAAACCAAAGTTTAATTATATTAAAAAGATAAAGTAAACGAAAATATTAGAAAGTAAAAAAAAAAATTAAACAAAAAATAAATAAAGTAAACTATTAAATAAATAGATTTAAAAAAAAAGTACAAAATAAAATAGAATGCAAAATAAACAAATTTAAACTAAATAAAAAAATAAAGCAAAGTTAAATTAAAATAAAAAAAAATGAAAATTTATGAGAATAAAAAAGTGAAACAAAATAAAAAAACAAAAAAAAATTAAAAAGAAAAAAACTAAAAACAAAATTTAATTATATTAATAAGTTAAAGTAAAAAAAAATTAAGAGACAACAAAAAAATTAACCCAAAATTAAATAAAATTAAAAAAAATGCAAAATAAAATAAAATAGAATAGAAAAGTAAATAAATGACAATCGAATAAAATAAAATGGAAATCAGAATAATTAATTTTAAAATAAATAAAGAAGTAAAGTTAAGTTTTTTTTAATATAAAATAAAATAAAATGAAGCAAATAAAATATATGAAAGAATAAAAAAAATTGAAGAAAATAAAAAATATATGAGAACATAAAAATAAAACGAAATGAATTAAAAAAAAAATTATATATAAAAAAAAATTAAACAAAAAATTAAAAGCAAAATAAAATTATATTTAATGATAGAGTAAATTTTATTATTTACTAGAGAATAAAAAAATAAACTAAAAAAAAATAAAAAATAAATTAAAATGAAATAAAATAAAAAAATGCAAAATAAAATATAATATAGAAATAAACAAATGTTAAATAAAATAAAATACAACGATATACAATAAAATAAAATAAAATAAAATAAAATAAAATAAAAATGAAATTAAACAGAGATAAAAACTAAAACAATAAAAAATTAAATAAAATGAGATAAAATAAAAATTTAATTAAATTAAATGAAATAAAGTAAAAGAAAAAATAAAACAAAAATAAATAAAATAAGATAAAACATAATAAGAAAAAATAAAAACCCTCTAGGCACTGTCTCTGCTTGAAAATCTATAGGAATATTATTGGTTATTCCGCTCAACGTGGTTCTAAAATCGTTTCAGTCTCATGAGTAACAGAAATTCTTTCACTAGACTACTCCAACTCCATTAGCCATTAATTTATTCTTAGATGTGGAAAATGTGCTAATTCTTGGTGAGTGTGTGGAGGTGTAAATATGCGTGTATATGTGATATTGACATTTTTCAATCATCAAAAAAAATTCTCTGTTGAGCTATAAAAATGAATGATGATCGCAGTACATTTAAGTCAAAGTAATGAATAAATCAAAATTAGGTTCAACGGCAAAAGAAAAAGAGACTTTGATTGCGCTTTGATTGACGCAAATGTGTAGCATGAAAAGATGTAAATTTAATTGCCAAGAGTATGAAAGTCCAAAGTAGACCTTCAAATCACTTAAAAAACTGTGATGAAAACTACAGCGATTGTCTCTTAAATTCACAAAAAAGCAAAGGACTTGAACAAATAAAGTTTAGATATTTTAAGGAAAGTGCCTCAAGACCGTAAGTACCTATACATACCCATATACAGATCTACTCCTAATAATGGATTTTCTCCATAATTTTCAGCTCATAAATGTAACATACGTCGATATGTATGTACGTGTATGTGAGGTCATAATGTCAAAAGCAGTTAAAAAGTACCACTCAAGGCAGACTTTATGTCAAAGTTCAAAACTACTTAAGTTTGACAGTTATTCGCACTGAATATGTTATGTGTTGTGTGCAAAAACAGGCCCACACTTACATACAAACATGTGTACTTAAAACTATGTGTGACAATGCAACTAAATTATGAGTGAGAAAGTAGGCACAAAGTAGCAAATGAACGAGGCAAAGTAGAGAAGGGAAAAGTCAGCCTACATGCAGTGCACACACACATACAGATCGAGCTGTGATGAACCCAGTAAATATAAAATATATAATGCATAAACAGGCTAGAAAATTTTCTTGAATCGCTGTTGAGAAAGTCTCACTCAAAAGTTCAACAACATTTACTTCAGAGGATTAAAATGAGGTTATTGTTGTTGTAGCGGCTCTTTAACTCAGTTTAGGAACAGGTGAGACAAGTCTAATTCATCGAGTTCATCTAACGGGAGGTAAAGGACATGAGCCGCTTCAAAAGGTTCGGACCAAATGTAAAGGGGGTTAGATGAGTCGGTTTTAGTGCGCCTGCAAAGTGGTGGTCAGTGTCGT